GGAGAGCCTGCTGGAGCAGCTGGAGCGGGCCAGGGGACAGCTCGGGGACAGCGAGCGCGTCTCGGCGCAAAGAGTGGAAGCTCTGAGCCAGGTAAAACCACGACTGCCCGCGGAGGAGCGCAGGGGTGCGCGTATGTACGCCGAGCGGCAGCGGCAAACACCGCGGGAGCTGCCAGTCCGCGCTCCCCTCTAGAGAAATGAGTAATTTAAACTTAGCGAGGTCGGCAGTGATTGTGTTGAAGGGAGGACGCAGAAGTTTTGCATTCAGGCTGCTCACTCGCCTTTATGGAAACCTCGGGGTGCGCGGGCACCGGCGCTTTATCAGATGCAAGAGTTTTGTTCTGCAAGATAAACAACTGCTGCCACCACTTTTTCTATTACAGTGTTTTTACAGAGTTTTTGCTTTTGTTTTTAAACTGCACTTTAAAATGGATTTTTGTATTGACATTCGGGCAGCACGGAAATGCTTGGAGAAGTAACTGGCAAGTCTGGATTGTGATGAGATAGATAAGGGAAATCAGTATCTCATGACAGAAAAAAGTGCTCAAAACTGCATTCCCTCCCATCCCCCACAAGTGCTATTTTTGTTACTGTTATTAAGACTTTCCCATGTTCAGTCTGAAATACTTAAAGAACTTTAAAGCAATTCTTTCTATAGGAAGCTGGATAAAGGAATTTCCAAACCAAGAAGCAGTACTTAAAATTGAAACAAATATTTTTGTCATAAGTAATTTCTTGACCTAATGCTTATACAAAACATTTTCCATATATGACACTCACTTAAAATACATTTAAATACGTTGGAGTGTGGAAACTTGTAATAGGAGATGATTTTACTTTGCAGACAGATGACAAACGTGGTATCTGAATACATTTTGAAGTCTGATGCTGAATGTCTTTAAAACAAAGGGGAAATTTAGCATTTAGCACAATGCTAAAGAATGTAAACGTTATTCATATGAACAAGTGCTATCTCTGTAAGTTAGATATTAGTTTTCTTATTTTTAGAAATAATTATTTTATGCCCAATCAGAAACACTGAAATAATTGTCGCTAAAAATAACAACAGCAACAAAATGGACATTTTGTCAAGTCAGAGGCCTATGTGCTGGCAAAGAAGAGTGCTCCCTGTGATTTACAGCTCCATTAGTGCTCCCGAAGAACTGGAAGGGTAGAGTCAAGCTTGTACCTGTCTCATGGCCTGCGCTGGCATCCAGGGCATCATTGGAAGAGCAGTGCTGCAGAGGTTTCTGCTACCAGCATCCGCTACTTTTTGAGGATACCAAGCACAAGCTGTTTTTGACAAAATCAGGACTGGTGTACTTCAGGTGTATGGTACTACAGTGTTTGTACCCCAGTCAGCGAGCAAACTTCTTCCTTCTCAAAACACCTGCAGAGATGTTAAGTTAATGCAGCACGGATGATCCCACAGAGCTTCTAAGTCAGTGGGAATATGCAGCAACAAGATACACAGTTGTTTCCTAAGAGTATGTCAGACCTTGGAGGGTCAGCTATGCCCAAAACAGTCATTGCTGCCACACGAATTTCACTTTCTGGTTGCTTGTCCTTACCACTCATCCTTTCCCAGGTGGGAAAGTTGCTGTGTGTGCTCCCTCTGCTCTGTCCTTGTGACAGTGCCAGGCAATGACTGCACTTCACTGGTTTTTGACAGGATGACTTTCCAGTCCATTTTTTTATTTTGAGGAAAATCTCTACTATCTGGTAATTTAGAATGCAGGACCAGTAGGCATTGCTCAGCCTCCATAGTTACTCCTTTTAAACTACTTTTTTTCTTAAAAGTTCCATCTTTAGTTTGCTGCTGCTGAGTATATTTTCATAAAATCTTCCTGAATTTTTGCTGGTTGTTTCTTCATTCTATTGACTAGGAAGTGCTTGCATAGGAGTTTGAACAGTTCTTGATTTCATTGATTGATCTGTCAGTTCCAAGGTCAAGTCACTATATAAAAATGAATTGGATTTATTTTACTTTTAAAGTACTTTGCAGTGAGTACAGGAGTATAACTTCTTTTCCCCCTTATGTTTAGGAAATACAGAAGTTGAATCGGCAACTAGAGGAGAAAAATGGAGAGATACAGCAAATGATAAATCAGCCTCCATATGAAAAGGAGAGAGAAATCCTACGACTTCAGAAGAGCTTGGCAGAGAGAGAGAAGGCTCAGGCCACCAGCGATGTTTTGTGCCGTTCACTCACTGATGAAACTCACCAGCTTCAACGCAAATTGGCATCCACAGCAGAAATGTGTCAACATCTGGCAAAATGTCTAGAAGCGAAGCAAAGAAAAGAGAAGGGGAATTCGGATGACCAGATAACTACTGAAAGATCTAATCAGGTATTCTTACTGCTACTATGTTTCTTTAAAGTCTTACTAACTTCTGAGGTGTTTATTACAACATGATTGTTGTAACTGGGGAGTGGTGAGAAACAGCCCTTTAAATAATTTAATGTAGGGTGAAAAGACTACCATGGCAAGCTCTAATTCTGAGTAGCAATTAGGATGTTGTCAGTTACTTGCATTTTGGCCATCTCGCTTATCTTATCATCAGAGGATTTTTTTTGGAGAGGATCGTGAGAGATCCTTTCCAACCTCAGCCATGCCATGGTTAAAAATCTTCCCTGCAGCTACAGGAGAGCCTCTCTTTATTACACCGCAGCATGCTCCTGCGCACCACTAGATGGCGCTGTGCTTTTGAAGGTAGTATTGCCTGATAACTCATTTAAGCATCTGAATCACAAAACAGAGTAAAGTAGTAGTAGTAGTAGTAGTATTTATGTTAAGAACTCTGTAGCATGTTGTCTTCTCAGATCAGAATTTGGCTTTGCATATGTAGCGACAGATCTACAGAAGGTTGGCTCGGGAAGAATGAGTAAAAGTGTCTTACTCTTTCCTCCCCCCTTCCACCCCCCCTGAGGTTCTCCCCTGGTCCCCTAAGTGCAAGGCAATGTTTCTCTCCAGCAAAGATGTTTAGAAAAATGGCTTCATGATAGAAAGGTGGCAGAAATGCCACTGAGGGGCACAAAGAAACACCTGGATATTGGCATACTTTGCTAATGGCCGTGTGGCTTTGCCACTTCATCACCTTAGCTGAAGCTTTACGGCGTAAGGTAGAAGTAGTTCACGGTTTTCGCTTGTTCCACAAAGCATGATGGTTCAGAGTCATAAGGTAATTAATGATAATATCATACGGAAATAACATCAGAGGTGCTGCCTCCAATAACAGATCTGAGTATTGAGTAGGATGCTACAGAAAATTCACACAGAAAAAGAATAATTCTGTCTCGTGCTCTTACTGCTCTGTACTGGCACTGCTGTGTTTCACATGACTGCTCACCCATGCTTTCATGATAAACTCTATACCTGCTCACTTCTACTTTGTAAAACATCCCAGGAACATTTCCAGAGAACTGATTCCCATTAAAGTTACCCATAAGAAATAATTAGATGTTGACTAGATGTAACAAAAAAGACTTGTAAGGGACTCAAAGCATTTGGTATGATCATATTTTACATGTAACTGATAGACAGGAAATTTGATTGACTTTGATATATGTAATAAGTAGCTAACCTTGTACAGTGGGGACTTCCCTGTTGAAGAGAAATTTCAGATGCAATTACTAGCTGATTCTAGGGAATTTTGTACAAAACTGTTCTATATTACTCATGTATACTGGGGTTTTTTTAAGCAGATGTCACAACTGTAAAAAAGGGGTATCATTTTAGTCAATTGTATAGCAGGCAGGGTTGTTTTTTTCCCCTCAGTAATTTCTTCCTAGTACTGACCAAGACTGACAGTAATAACAAAGCAAGATGAAGGTATATCTGTCTTTGTCACACGTTCCCCCACTCCAAGCAGTTTTCAAGGAGTCTGTGTCTCTTTAGCTCTGCTGTTGTCATCAGTGTAGACCCTCGCGCATGCAAAATATGTGATATTTTTCTTGTTACCTTTGGTAGGCTCAGAATTTGGGAAGACACACATGTTTTTATGACACCATGCAGAGCTATTTAAAAGCAATACCGAGGTATTGGTACATACTTTGTACCAATAAATGTTTGTATATTTATAATAGTAAAAGTTGTAAGCTTATACTATTAGTATTTAGAAATATACTATATAGAAATAAGTAGGCCTAGATGTACATATTTGTTTCACTGATAGCAAATAGTTCTAAAGGAATTTAAAAAAAATATTACTTCCAGTTTAATAGCAAAGCTAAGTAACATTTGGGATTTTATTATGTTGAAGTAACACTTCTTTTATCTGAAAATTACAGCTTTTAGACAATGAAACTTCACTTCAAGCTCTTATCTGCAACCTACAAGATGAAAACAGGATGTTAAAACAAAAAGTAGCTCATGTGAGTACTTTCATTCTGTACAAGATTTAAGATTTGATTGAGTATTTTGAATTACAGTAAGTTTTGAATAGGTAAGGCCTGGTTCATCTAATTAAATGGCAGTTTAATGCAAGTCCGAAATTTTTGTTAGTCCTTTCAACATGGCACATAGTCTTCATTCTCTTAGCTAAGGGAACTTAGCTTATTACGTTATTACAACTTATTACATTATTTTTATTGTATTTTCTTTTGTTAAAAATACCCTGCAGAAGAAAACGTTTATGTTCCTTCCATGCATCAGTGTTCCACCTCAGGAGAACAGTGCTCAGCTCAGGGTGACCACCAACCCCTGCCAGTCCATCTTATTTAATAATGTCCCTAATGACTGGCGAATGGGGAAGGCTGCCCCTGAAGAGCCTGGCTTATAGGATCATAATCTTCTGCTTTCCTGTAAAGTGGCTTATCCACACCCAGCAGTTGAGTCAGCTTATTGTATTTTATAATTGAGAGAATTTGGTCCTGCACATATAGACAGTCTATGAAAGCTTGGAAGTTTGTGTCTTCATGTTTGTCTTCCTGTTGTTCATTAATGTCCTGGGTAATCTTTCAGGTGGAAGACTTAAATGCAAAATGGCAGAAATACGATGCGAGTAGGGATGAGTATGTGAAGCGACTCCACTTGCAGCTAAAAGAGATGAAGTCTCAGCTGGAACAGCAGCATGGTGTAACTTCAGCCCAAACGAATTCTGACCTGATGCACAAGGAGATACTCCGGTTAAACAAGCTGCTGGAAGAAAAAATGAATGAGTACATAAAAACAAAGAGAGAATTGGAAGATGTGAAGAAGGCTAGTGAAGGATATAATGAGCGCATACAAATGCTGGAGCAACAGGTCATTAAGTTTCTTTTTCCTAGAGGTGGGAGTTCTTAGTTTCTCCCCAGATCACTTAGGCCTAAAGGGGAAAAATGTGATTATTTCTTTTGACTTTTGCCGCTTGTCTTGCCACATGTGGCTATACAGATACTTAACAATACAGATTTAAAGGAAATGGACTACTTAAAGAACTGCGTGTAGTTCTTCTGGCTTTAATACAAAATATGAAAGATCTGAAAAAGAAATACAAATACCTTTAATGTACAGATATGACAGAGAAGATAATATTGAAATTCTGGGAATAAGGATTTACAAACAAAAGAATCACAGCCTCAGCTTTTTAATCTAACTTGCCAGTGATCTAATTTATAAAATATTAACGTAATAATTCTTTTTCAGGTCCTAGTTTATAAAGATGATTTCACATCTGAGAGATCAGACAGAGAACGAGCACAGAGTAAAATACAAGAGCTTCAGGCGGAAGTTGCATGTCTGCAACACCAGCTAGCAAGACGACAGGTAAGAAAGCAACGTGCTAGTTCTTCACTTAAAGCATGTCAGCAGGATTCAGGACTAAAATATACTTTAAAATAGATTTTAAAAAAATCTTAGTACTTCTAAAACCATTTCAGCTCAGTGCTAGGTGATTTTCATAGTCACTTCCAGTGGAGATGCTGCCCAATACATGTGTAATATCCCTTTCCAGTCAATATTCCTTCTATTTTGGATCAAAGTAGTATGGGTGAATTCTTAGAAGAGAAGGATGGCCATAACACTTATAACAGTGGCATCTTTAAAGACAATACTGGCTTTATTCTGTTTTCTACAAGCCTCATTTACAACTACATTAACAGAACTGGGGCATATTTTATTTACAGATCTTCTGATAAAAACATGGGCTGTGTTTCAGATAAAGATAACAAAACGCTCTGTTAAAGAGTACCCTTTTACTGCATCTTCTTCAAGAGCTTCTCTTTCTCTTTCCAGGACTTGAGAGACACAAGTAATCATTTAAGGGTTTACAAAAATCAAAATCATACGTACGTACAGACGAACGTTGAACATCTGCGAGGCAGCAGCCCAGGCCAAACAGGCATCAGAAGAACATCTTCACAGTCTGAACAAGCGTCTCCTGCGGACAATGGAAACTCAGGATCCGAGGGCAGGGCACAGGGTGAACTTAGATGCCCTCATTGTATGAGGTTTTTCAGCGATGAACTCAGTGATGAATTCCTCAAGCATGTTGCTGAATGTTGTCAGTGACCACGTGACGCAAGGCGTGTAAGTCAATCACTACTTTAGAGACAGTAAAACTTTGCTCTAGACGTATCTCCTGCAGTCCTAAACCAGAGGAATTGAAATGGACAGCTCTTAGGAATTAGGATGACCAGTATCTACCTCTTATTTGATTTTACCTTCTCTTGGACTGTATGAAAGGCCTCAAGATGAAGCAAAGTGTTTTTTAATGAAGAATTATTTTGGCAACTACAAGGAAGGCAAGCATAATGCAAACTACTACAATCTAAACTGAAAGTTACAGTGGTAGTTAGCTTCAGAGTGCAGCTTGACTCGTATTTGAGTCTGATTCTTTACAGCGGTCTGAAAGCTTGTGAAAAAAGTTACTGAACTTGAAAGTGTCATCCTCTTCCAAAAATGTAGGCTGAAGAACAAGGGAAGAGCACCATTTTGGCAGAAAATAGGAAAAATCTCATTGTGCTTTATCTGGAATTAAAAGCGAAAGTATTTTCTTGTTTTTTTGGGGCTGAACTTTCAAACATCTCATCTGAAAATCCCCATGTTCAACTGAAATCAGGAGAAGTGAAGAAAACCAAAGGGCTGGCTACTGACTAAAACCAGCCTGTCTTTTTGCACAGAAACAGTGTACAGGAATATTTATTTTTTTCTGTGCCATAGTTAACTATTTTACACATGTGTAAATGTGTATTTGTGTAATTATTAATTGTATTCCTACTTTACCTAAGGATTATTTTTATAATTAAAGTGATTGTGCAGTTGCTTTACTACATTAGTAAAGTGGTCAAAAATCTCTCTGTGTAAGTGTGTTTAAATGTGAAATAGTCCCAGTAACTATACTAAGGACTAACTAAAGGTCATGGTTTCAGATGTGAGTTACTTCATTACTTCGGTAATAACCAGTGTCTCGGGCTCTTTTCGAATACGTTGAAAAATCACTTCTCATTTATGAGAGGAAGAATGACCTTTCAGATGCATGAGAACACCTCTGACGCCCTACCCTGCCACACATCTCTGACAATGCCCATGCTAGCTTAAATTATTTTAGCCTATCGGCACTGGAGATAACTTCAACAAATAGCAGAGGACTGCTTTGAGATGTAGTACTAGAAGTTAACATGTGCAAATGTAACAGAGCCTCAGGTTTTTTCAGCATTGGCTCCAGGTGTTTCTGATGATAAGTCAAGGGTGGGATACAAAGGGAAGGCCTTTCCTAAGTAAGGAAGACTTACTTTGTGTTAACACCACCACTGCCTTCTGCTTTGTTTCCTTTCCAGTACTATGCTTAGGAGGAGTGAGAGTATCTTCCTTGATATTTCCTTTTCATGATCCTGTTGCAGCCCCAAAGGAACGTGATGGGTTATGGCAATGTTGCCTTAGGGGGGATATTACCAAAAAAGATGCAAGAATCAGTGCATGCAGTGTGCAGATGCAATGGTTCTTATTAATCTAATCTTGAACTGATTGCAAATCTGTGATTGATTACTAGCTGGTTTTTCCCCAATACAACATGCACAAACATGCAGAGATGTTTATTTTTTTCTTTTAGTGACCATTTTATACATCACCTTTTAAGGTGATGCAGCCCACAGAATAGAGACTGAGAAACATATGATTAAACTTCCTGTGGCATAAACTAATCTGACTTTTTCTGGCTGTTCTCATTAGACAAACCTTGTTTACAGCTTCAGTGTACATCAGTGCTATATTGCCAGTGATCGATACAGCAGAATATGGACTTTCTTTTAGTGATTTGTATTACAGGACAGTTACAAAGATAAACACAACAATAAAGTTAGATTTTAGCAGTGCCTTTTATTTTAATGCATTAAGATAACCACTGCTTTAATATACATCAGTCAGCAGCTCAAGTCTGCTTTAGGTTTCCACTTGTGTTTATCCCTGTGGGTACAGTTGGACACACTGACCTACAATTATTAGAAACAGATGCAAAAATTACATACAAGAATCTGCAGAAAATAATAGTACATATTCTTGTGGGTTTAAGACCTGTGAATTAGTCCCTGGTCAAAGTAGATATTAGTATGAATCCTTGGAAAGGAGGGCACTGCAATGCTGGGAGACTGGATATACCTATGAGAACCACACTGGACCAACAGGCATAAAACTGAAATTAGAGATCAAGCACATATTACAGCCACCACCTAAAGCTATGCAGTAAGTGATTGGAATTTGAATACTCATGGCAAAAATCTAGGACATATCTGCTGTTTTTCAGTATCAAAATAACTCACTTTAGAGCTATTTTACTTCACCATTTCCTACTGGGTTTTTTTTCCGGTTGGTAAAAAGCCCTGCTTATTTATTTCTTGTTTTGGCTTAACCAAGAAATCAGTTACAGGTACTGTGAAGAACTACCAATGTCTTATATGCAAATGTTTGTTTCAGATTTATAGGGCATAAACTATTCCTCCTGAGCAAACTTGACTTACCAGTGCTTTGACTGTTACAGTGAAGTCACTGGCAGATCTCTTGACGAAACACTATGAAATCTTTACTTGCCCTCTCCTCATCAGGCAAGGCATCCCAAGCCGTTACCATGACCACCTACATTCACAATTCAGGTTCCTCAACTTGTAGTCCAGAACACATAAGATCGGTCAGCTCCACTGCCCCAATACTGAAGTGAAAGCAGCCAGGAGTTCCCAGCATGTTTTGGACCCTCTAAATTAAGAAAGCTCCTTCTGGCCTCACACTGCTGTTCTCTGCTGCCTGGATGGCCATCCAAGTAGTGCGTGTCTTGTCTGGTTAAAAGGTAAAAGTAACCCAGCTTCTTTCCCAAAAGCAAGCAATGAAGGCATATGAGTAAGAAAGTAACTGCATAAAATGAAAGGAACTTCAGTAGCATAAACTTTATGAACTTTCATTATCCATTTGTACTACACCTTTTCACTGAAACACACATCATCTGTAAAACTGCAGAAACGAGTCCTCGCACAAGAGACTCTTGAAACCATACAGAAAAACTGTGACCGTATGGGACTCGGTTCCTTATTTGCTGTATCAGTAACAAAAGGCATCCACGACAATAACCGAGCCCTGTTATCAGGCAAAGTTAACACCTGTTTAGGCCTCTGTAAATGTCTCATTGCTGGTGAGCAATGCCCATACTGGAGAGGCATGTCAAGACCAGAAGAAAGTACCTCTATAGGTCCAGTGTGGCTGGGAGGAGGAGGCAGGATAGCTGTCTCTTCTGGGACTTATATGAATGTTTCTTAGCATATTAAGAGCTACCAAGATGTATTTGTCCAACTACCTTCACAATTAGTCCATCCCTTCTCCTAAAATTTCTCCTTCATTAAATTGCCTTCCCTCAGTTTTGTTCTCCAAACCAGCCTGAGTTCAGACCCAGGACAGGCTCAGGGCTCCCAAGCAGGTGTCCCACCAACAACGAGGTTCTCAGACCTCCAAGTGCTGGCTAGCTGCTTCTCATTACTCCTGGACCTAATTATCAGGTCTTTTGCTTGGGATTTTCAAGTAAATGCTGTTTACCAGTAACTATGCTGGTTGCCATGCAGAAGTAGGCCCTTCACACACAATCACGGCAGCAGCCATAGGCAAGACTGACTCACTGAATCTCAGAAAACACAATTGGGAGAAGCCTCAGAAATTGGTCCCTACCCCAAAAAGTCCCAAAGGAGAGAAGGCTCAATAATAATGCTGTCTTCTGTAGCATGGGCAGTATAGAGCCTAAAAAGCTGCTCAAATCTTCTCCAACTTTTAAGGCAACATCTGCTTTCCTCTGCAATGATTTAGGACATCACATCTTTTAAAACAAGCCTTAAATGATGCCACAAGATTAAGTGCTCACTAATAATAAAACTGACTACAAGAATAAAATTTGTTCAAGAAGCAGATACCTATGCTCTATGGTATTTTTTTAAAACTTCCATTTCCTGTGGCTTTGCTGCATGTGTATATATAGAAAGCGAGGGAAATTCCAAACAAGATGCCACACCGTTGTACTCAGAACAGCAGTCCTTCTCATTCTAAAAAAGGGAAGTCTCAAATTCTTTTTCTACAAAATCTCTGTGAATTCAAAGTATGCTGTAGTAGTATTTCCTAGTACCGTGCTCCAGTAGCTAGTGGCTGGGGGGGGGTGGTGTTCAGCTGAAAACCTGAAGCCTAAGAAATACTTAAAAAACACTGGGTCAGCCCAGCAGGATGGGGTACTGCCTTCTCACCCCATGCCTCAAACCACTTGCTAAAGGCAAATGCAGCCCATCACACTCACTGAAGCTTTCCCTGCCAGGGGCCACCCCAGCTGGGGGATCAGAGCTCTAGTGAAGTCAGGTATGGGTGTACAAGGTGCTGTAGCAACTGCTGAAGCAAGGGCTCCTGAAAAGCACCAACCATCTCAAGTATCACTGCTGCCACTCCTGCTGCTGCTCTGTGTGTTCTTCCACTTTCTCTTTAGTACCTCCACGTTTTTTACATTTACTGGTAAGAAGCTGTTGGTGCAGGAACTCTTCACAACATGCACCAGAGGTGTGGCATCTATAGTAGCCAACAGCCTGCCTCAGGAGCTCGAGATAATTCCACAGCACACAGATCCATCGTGAACAGCACTGAACCAGATAGTGGGTTACAAGACAGCTTATTCCTGGAAGGAAATAAAAAACCCCCATTGGAAGTGTGCACTTGGCTTAACCACACTTGTTCCCCTGACCAGTCTCTAGGCCAGCCCTCCAACACACCTTCTGGGGACCTGGTGACAGATGGGACAAGCACCCACCAGCAGGGCATCGTGCTGACGCCCACCTCCTCAGTGTCACACGAACGCACCTTGCCTGAGGCTTTTACACTCTGACTGCTCAAGGAGTGGGTGGGAGGAAAAGCAGTGGGACCCAGTTCTGCAGCACTTGCACATCCACCTCCATCCCCTCCCTCTCATCACTGCAAACCTCTCTCTCCCTTTCTCCCCCAATATCTTTGTTAAATCTGTCTCCATGCAAAAAGTGGATTTTTTTTTTTAATTGCCTCCTTAA